CCCCCCCCCCCCCCCCCCCCATTTGAGCCACACACGCCTGAGGCAGAGGGCAAAGCAGGGGGCAGGAGCCTGGCAGTTACACAGGCCGGTCAGGGCTTCACTGTTCTCCCCACCCCCACTGTGTTCTGTACCAAGAACATAATGCTGCCCGGGGCTGCAGTCAAGGCACAAAGAGGGAGGGAACGAGCAAACCGTCCCTCTCGCTGACCCCCGAAGGAGGCCCCCTTTCCTCTCCCAATTACCCTTCTATTCGGGGTGGGAGTGGCGCATGCCAAAGAGGCGGCTGGTTATTCCTTTCCCCTCCCCTGCAGCTCTGCAGCCTCGTTTTAGCTCTCAGCACCCGAGCTTGATGCTTACAGCGCCAGGGACGGCGCACTTGTGGCGGTGGCTGGGGGGTCCGAGGCCAGCGTCAGGCAGCACATCAGCAGACAAGCCCGATGCAATTTGCAAGGGAGTGAAGCAAGAGACTATTCGCTCACGAGGGATGTTCAATTGCGAGTCACTGAATAATCAAATAGTCGATTAGTCAATATGGGCGCCTCCGCCTTTGGGGTGTAGCAACAACCCCTAGGGCTGCTGCTACACTTCAAATGCCAAAGTGCCAGGTGGAGCCCGAGGTCAGCTGGGGACTCCCCACTGACCCTGGGCTCCACGTGGCGCTGCCGCTTTGAAACGCTGCAGGGAGCCCAGCGTCAGGGTCCATGCAACGTTTCAAAGCAGCAGCGCCGCACGGAGCCCGGGATCAGCAGGGGAGTCCCCAGCTGATCTTGGGCTCCACTTGGCACTGCTCCCTTTGAAATGCCGCGTGCAGCCTGGGGACACCCTAGCTGGCCCCAGACAGCCTGCGGTGTTTCAAAGTGGCAGCAACACATGGAGCTGGGGTCTGGCCTCACGCTGCCACTTTGAAGTACCCCCTCCTGCCTCTTTCTGATAGAGACAGCAGAGGGGTGGGGGGAAGCGACTAGTTGACTAGCCTGTTGACTATCCGATAAGCATTTGTGGGCAGGGCTCACACACCAGCGAACAGCTTCCTGCCCCGCCTGGCCTGGCCAATGCCTGTGGGGAGAAGGGGCACCAGTGCATCCAGCTACTTGCAAAATGTAACCTCATGTAAGAGACCCTGGTTGGGATCAGGACCCTGCTGCAGCAGGCAGTGCACGGACACAGGGAAACGTGGCCCCAGGCCCTAGGAGCTTCACTCTCAAAGATGTCCTGACACAGGGTTTTCTCGAGTCTGTAAACGCCTGGCGCAGGCGCCTCTGCTCCCACTTGTGCCAGGGGCAGAGGGAAATTAACAGGATGCTGGCCTCAGTTTCCCAGATGCGCTTCGGAACCCTCGGGGCAGCTGTGAAACTGTCAGTCAAGTCACTCCTGTGCTGCGGCTCACCGGGAAGGTTCCAGCAGGTCCTGGTGTCATGCCGAGTGGAGAACCACCCGGAGCAGCGAAGGCCGCTCCCGCTTTTCTCTGGTCGCTCGGGGATCCCAGACCCTGCCCCTCCAGCTGCTGGAGCGGAGGCGGAAAGGGAGCTCCCAAGCAGGAAAGCACCCTGACGGAAACCCCAGGAGTGAAGATGGAGCTGAGGGTGGAGCCAGGGCCAGGCAGTCCGCTGGGCTGCTGCCTCCCAGCCCCACTGGCAAGAGCTCCACCTCCTGTGCCTTCCGCATTCGCTCCTGGAGCAAGTTTTCCGGGCTCCAGCCTTGATGTTTCCCATTCGGCCCCTTGCCAAGAGGCTAATGCGCCGTTAGAAACAACCCCAGGCCAACAGCAGCAGCCAGTGCCTCTCTCAGAGCCTGGGATGCCCTGCCACTCAACAGCCAGGGCCCGTGCCAGAGCAGAGGGTGCCGTGAGAACAGATCCACCAGCAGCTCCAGCACAGGCACCTCCCTGGGCCAAATGCGGCTGGGTGGCCGGGGCAAGGCAGGCAGGTCCCGCACCATTAAGGACGTTCAGGGTAAGGACGGGGAGTCTCATTCCAGCTTCTCTGGGGAGGCCCGGGCTCCGGGGTAACGGCACAAAGTGCTGAGGGCAAAGCCGGGTCAAGAGGGAGCGTCAGGCTCCCAGACAGGGTGAGGTTTGCTGCGTGGTGCTGAAGAGCAGGCACAGCCTTAGCACTGCACAGCACGCCATCCAGAAAGCAACCTGCCTCCCACGCCAGCCACCCGGAGCACAGCCTGAGCCGAGCAGCGCCTGGCACCACTTCCCAAATGCCGACAACGCACTTGGCAGGTCCCTGCTCCTCTCTGCTCCAGCCGCCCGAGATTAGGGATGAGAACAACTAGACGACTAGTTAACCAGTCGCTCCCCGCCCGCTTGCTGCCTCTATCAGAAAGAGCCAGCGCCCGTGCTCCATACGGCGCTGCCACTTTGAAACGCTGAGGGCAGCCCAGGGACAACTGAGAGTCCCCAGATGGGC